ATAAACAACTGGTATCTGTAGGGGAAGGGAATTCTTCAGGGAATTTTCCCTGAGTTCGGCCGTAGGGAGGTGCCTGGAGGACTTTTCAGAGCAGTCCAGTGGTCTTCAGTGTTTATTGTTAGGTGTGGTCACTGCACACTTCATGTTTAGAAGTGTAAGCTGTTCTCTCTGATAGAGGAGCAGTGAATGTGTATTTAAAAACATTTAAAAACAATTAATTGATTATTAATAAAAATCAGTTAAACATTGATTATTATGAATTCAAATAGTTTTGATTCTAGAAAGGACTATGAAGGTCTTAGAAAATTAAACTCTTCCTTTACAGGATGGAAAGTATCATCTAGGAAGAAAGCTAGAAAGGAAAGCTTTAAGAAAAAGCATAAAAGCTGTGTTAAGGAGAAGAACCTAAGCTAATAGAGCATGAGAAAGAGAAACATTTTGATTTCAAAATCCTTAGATATAGTGATTGAGGTAGTGATTTCCCATAGGTAGAATGTTGGCTCCTAAAGATGCCTGCATCCTAATCCCCAGAACCTGTGCAGATGTCCTCTTACGTGGCCAGAGGTACTTTGTAGGCGTGATTAAGGCTACAGACCTGAAGGTGGGGAGATGATGAGTCCTTCACTGCAGTGGGCCTTTTATTACTGTGGTCAGTGGGAGGTGAATATGAAAGAAGGATCAGATGCAACATTGATGGAAGGAGAAGACCATGAGCCAAGGAGTGCAGGTGCCCTGTAGAAGCTGGAAAAGGCAAGCTAAGAGCCTCCAGAAAACAGCACGTCCCTGCTGACATCCTTATTTTAGGCCAGTGAGACCCATTTCGTGCTTGTGATTTACAAAACTAAAAGGTAATGCACTTGTTGTGTTTTAAGCCCCCAAATTTGTGGTGATTTATTACGGAGGTAATAGGGAACTAATACAGTGACCGTGGACCATCAAGATAAAAAAGTGCATTCTTTGTCTTAGAAGACTTTTAGAAGGACTCCTAGTTTAGTACTGGACCAAGAGGAGGAAATGTACTAGGTGTTGGAGAACAGGATTTGAATTTCTGGATCTTGTTTTTTGATAACCCAGTGATGAAAGCCTCCAAGAAGAATGATAGGAATCCCTTGGTTTTCTAAAGCTGAAGAGTATCTGAAAGAGAAACACAATGAGAAAAAGAAACACTATACTATGGAAGAATCAGTAATGATGATTATATTTGGTAATTCTTAGGAAGCAGTAAGGAGATGAACAGTGTCATCAATGTGTGTTGCTTCAAATATCTCTTCTAGTAATAAATCTGAAAATTAAGTGTGAGGCTATAGCTAAAAATATAAAATATCCCTTTTTGTCCCCTTTTCCCCACAAACCACTTAATATTCATTTGCACATATTCATTGTCATGTCTTTGTCCTGTGAGACTCTAAGACATCTGAGGGTCAGGATTGCATCTTAACCGTTATTGTGTCACTAGCATCATGCATGTAGTGGGCACTTCAGGTGTTCATGAATAAATGAATGAACATTCATGAAAGAATGAACATGGAGGAAAGAGTCATGTAACCTATTTCGAACAGTGGTGAAGGTCATTTGTTTGAAAGTACTATCTCAAAGGTAAGTGGCTAAATGGAACCAAGCAAAATAATAAAAACTTTCAGAAATGAACAAAACTATGGCCTCATCTCACTAGTGAATAATCAGGGAAATTAAACCATCATAACAACAGTAAAATACCTGTGGGAGTTTTTTTGGTCATCAAATTGATCATCCTAAGATTAATTTTACTCATTATTAATGTGAGATAAATGATACTTTGTAACATTATGCATCAAGTATAATTGGTATAGTTTTGTTGATGGGCAGGAAGTTTGGTTGTACTTATCAAAATGTTTCAGTTAAAGGAAATTTTGCCTGTTTCTATGCAGTGGTCATAAATACTTTTGATGACAGCTAGAAGAATGTTCATAGCAGTATTTTCATTTACACCTTCCTTTCTCCCTCAGAACAAGGAAATCTTTATTCATCAGTAGTAAAATGACCTTGCACATTTAATGTTATGTTTCTGATAAGATACAGGCATGATGTAAACACTGGCTTCTTTTATTTTAACCTTAAAAAGAATCCTTTTACCATGAATGTCTATATGAGAATTTAATCAGAAAAGTTGTGTATTTTTGACACTTGGGATATGAGAGACAGGTTTCAGAGTAGCCAACTGTTGTTTTGTATTTCATAGGACCATATAGATGTGTCTTCAAAGCCACAATGAGAAATTTAAATTTAATTCTGGTACCTTTAGTGGCATTTTAAACACCCGTGTCCTATTATCTTTTTAGAGACAGTCATTTTTATTCTAAATGTATGCGTGTGTGATGTGAAAATGGGGCACTTCCATATGGCAGCGCTGTAGAGTTGGTTGAGTATACATTCCTCACTAAATACATAGTTTTCAGAATTATTTGTTGAGTTATCCAGACCAGATATTTAGTTCTCAAAATTACTTAAGTTACTGAGTATATACATTTAGCACCACATATTTAAGCACTTTGTATATTTGTAATGTTTGCCGTTACCCAGAGAAATTTATAAGCATGCTAGAGAATGAGCAGTAGTACAGAGTGCAATATGGATGCATAATGAGAAAGCAAAAAATGAAACAGAAGGTAATATCTCTGTGTTTATTGCTTTTCACTATTCCATGGAGAGTGAAAATTGAAAGCTGGTTTACTCATGAGGTACTACTGTATGCAAAGGCAGTGTTACTCAAATCCACACTTGAAGTCACTCTCAGTCTCTTCAGGCAGCATGATCAAGTGAATGTAATAAGATTCTCTCTGTTCCATAAAACTCCAAGACAGAAACCTGCCTTTCCCTAACAAATACCACGGTTCTGGGCTAAGCCTCTTTGAGACTGGTTTGCTGCAGGTCTCCTATATGTGTGCTGTGAGTTCAGAGGAGATGAAGTGACTTTTTCATGGGGTCACTACAGAAGGCAACCAGAGAAGCTGGGCTTTTTCTTAGGATGTGAATGGTGACAATTATAAGAAATGATTTGTGTTCCTCACTGCCTTATATTCAACATCAGTTTATGGAATGATAGACCAAGTGACCTGAGGCAGATGTCTAGAGACCAGTGTAGACATTGATCGCAGCTCTAACAAGAGAGAGCTGCCTCTTGAATTGGTAGTAGTAGTGAGTTGTGGAGCAAGGAGACTTACTGACCTGTGCTTTACCAAGGGTAACTAGTGTTGGTGTGTACTAGGTGTTGACCTGGCAGAGCTGGACAGGGAACCAGGAGCTTTTGTGGGAATTTCGCAGAGGTGCTAGCTTCCATCCTTTATAGTTCAGGGATTTGTGTGTTGTCAAGAAGCTGCAGAAGTCACTTCTGAGAGAATTGTTAAAAGGTGCTCCTTTCTCTAGGCAAGTTCCCCACCCCAGAGTACAAGGTTTAAAGACTAGAATGTGGACTCTCTGCCCTCGGCTGGACATCCTTGTGTAGGTAGGGTACTATCATTTACAGTGGCCCTGTCATGAATTCTGGGCCTTGGATCAAAAAGCCAGGAAGAACATTTTATGCTTCTGTCAGTTCCACATAGGAGTATGTAGGCTGTAAGCATCCTTCCTGTCCTGATGAGAATTAATCATCTTTATGAACCTGTCTTTGACTCTTCCAGCCTGGTCTGTTGTTCATGCTTTCTCTCTTGATACCATGTTTACTCCCTTCCTTTGTCCCTCTCTCTGCCACTTCCTGTGCTTGATAAACAACTTTGTACCTGGGATTGAGTTGTCTGAAAGAGAGATTGACTCTACCACTTCATTCACTCAGTGCCCTGGGAGGTCTGCCACATACCAGGTGCCAGTATCGGGAGCCCAGCACAGCAGCACACGTCCCCGGTGTGCATATACTGGGTTTTGGACAGTTTTTGTATATGGTACATGTTACGATTTGTCTTAGATTATGGAGAAGACTGGGGATAATATCCTTTATTATGATCAGCAGCATTGTGCTGTAATAAAGCAATACTTGGTGAGTGCAGGAACTTTTATGTATGTCTTACAAGTTTTATTATAACTTCAATTAATTGCAATTCTAAAAACTAGTGATTATTTTCTTTCATGGACATTTTCATTTTAATATCAGCATCATTTAAAAAAATACTTGTCTTATCACCTAAAAGATTGAGGTCACAGTTGGTTGTGATTTGCATACCCTCATGTAAAGGGCAGCAGATGGTTCTGTCATGTTCCCAAATGAGTCTTCTATACATGCTGCCCACTTAACAACATATTCTCCCATGGCCCTCATACCTAGGTAGGTACAGGGCAAGAGTCAGTTCTAACACTTAACCTGTCCATTGCTCCAGGAGAAATTTCACCATCTCTAAGGAACATTCCCTGATGACCTCATTCAAAGGTGACCTTCTCCTCTGAACTCAAGGGAACACATGTTAGAAGCATTAGATTTGGGAATATTTTTAAAGAGCAAGTAATAAACTGATTAAGCCCTAATTCAAAGAACTTTTCATGTATCTCCAGTGTCACCAGAAACATAGCCTTAAGTGTGTGTTCCTGAATGTATGTTTTTTAAAAAAATGATTATGAATGTTGCAGCCTGGTCTTGAACAGTATGATCTCCCTGTTCTAGAAAGTATAACCCCTTCCTTGGGTCTGGACCTTAGAAAGTAGTAACTGAAAGATAACTGGTGTGCTTTGATAGGTTTGGGGGATGATGATAGTGGAATTGCAGAAATGTATTTTTAAGTTTACATGCCTTATTAATGACGAAAGGAGATAATCTCTTTATGTTTTCTTTTCTAAAACTTCTCCTTGTTCTTGAAAATACTATTTCAGAAACAAAGATTCCTAAGTCATTTATTTAACTTGATATTCTCATACCAAAGATTTCTGATAATTGACTAAAAGAAATGAATATTGCATTACTTTTTAGCATATAGTTTTTTTTTTTTTTTTTTTTTTTTCAGTTTATAACAGTCATTCTTGTGGGGGGTATGTTTTAGGGCATCATTCAGAAGATAGTGGACAGTCACAAAGTAAAGCATGTGGCCTGCTATGGATTCCGCCTCAGTCACCTGCGGTCAGAGGAGGTTCACTGGCTTCACGTGGATATGGGCGTCTCCAGTGTGAGGGAGAAGTATGAGCTTGCCCACCCACCAGAGGAGTGGAAGTAAGATACAAACCTGCTTTGGTGTGATGCACACTTGATTTCTTTTGCTTTTTAAAAACATGCACAAGATAACAAATGTATATGTTTAATTTCCACACTGCTTGTCATTACATCTCTGGTATAAATAAAATTGGTTAGTAATTATTAACCAGTGATCTCTTCTAGACCTCTAGTCTAGCTTTTGGATATTATTAACTATACTTTGAGCCATCCGATTTCAGGCTTCTGTGATGGTCTTTTGCTAGCTGATTTCTCACAGTGCTACTTTGTTTCAACCTTTGCTCCCAGTAAAACTCAAATCCTATATATATATATATATTTATGTTTTCATCCCTTGTCATCCTTTTATGGAGCAGGAGTTGCTATCACACCTAAATACCTTATTAATGGGCTACATAGCTTGTTTCACTATGCCGTGTAATCTAGAGCACTCCTACAAAGAGTAAGTGTATATTTGATATTCACATGCAATGTTAAAATTAGGAAGTAATGTCTTAGTGACTCCTGTTGAAATGTTAAGGAAAATAAAATTATTTCAGGGCAAATTAAAAGAATTCCCTATAATTGTTCTTTTTCTGGTTCTCCCTAATAATTTTTTTTTTTTTTTTTTTTTTTTTTTTTTTACTATTAAGCAACTCAAGTTGTTAGTAGGAAATTGTACATCTAAAATACATTTGAGAGAGGTGTAACTTGTAAAAATGGGCTTCTTTTACTAGGGCTCTAATTTTTATAGGTAATGCTACAGAAATAAAGACAATTGTAGATTGAAGAGTGCATTCAAAGGGTCAGTAACTTTGAAGGATCTAGATTAATTAGGGTAGACATTTTAAAAGAAAAAGCATGTTTAGGTGAATAATTTTTGTTTTTTGAGACAGAGTCTCGCCCTGTCACCCAGTCTGCGGTACGGTGACATGAACATGGCTCACTGCAGCCTCTTGGGCTCAAGCGATTCTCCCACTTCAGCTTCTTGGGTAGGTGGGACTGTAGGCACACACCACTACGCCCAGCTAATTTTCGCATTTTTTGCAGAGATGGGGTTTCAGCATGTTGCCCAGACAGGTCTCAAACTCCTGGGCTCAAACAGTCTGCCCACCTTGGCCTCCCGAAGTGTTGGGATTACAGGTGTGAGCCACCATGCCCAGCCTGAATAAATCTTATGTTGAATAACACCCTACCCCAGTTACAGAGTTCATCAAAGAAATACAGTTGTATTTTCAAATTTGTCAGATAGCTGGTACCGAGTTAACAAAATACTCCTTGAGAATATAGTTTGGTTGGTTCACATCAATGGCTAGAGAAGATTTGACCTCCAGCTATTTAGTCTGTTTAAGCAAGTAAGCATTCCAAAACAAAGGATATGTAAAAGTTAGATTAAAATACCTGCAGGGTTTTTGTTTTGTTTTGTTTTTTGAGATGGGCATCTTGCTGTGTTGCTTGGGCTGGTCTTGAACTCCTTTACTAAGGTGATCCTCCTGTGTCAAGGTACTTATTTAACACAATTATATTATCTTGGTTTATATGGACATGTCAGATGCCGACTTTGTCATAATGAAGTCCTTAGTGCTCAGTAAAATGGCCATTGAATCTAAATCTCTTAGTAGATTGTTGTTGTTCTTTTAAGCCAATTTATTTACTTTGTTTCAAGTAAAATTGAATAGGCACTGCTTTACTGACTGGGTCTTGAATCCTCAAAAGGAAGAAAAATTTAGATGGGGTTATATAGAAGTTCTCATAGATTGACCCTACTAGATTAAAGGATGATCAAGATATCGCTCCTCATAATAATACTAATGATGATGATGACATTGATGCCTTGTCATCATGAGTGGCTGAGCCAGGGACTCTGCCATCTGTCTGCTTCTTACACCAGAAAACTTAAATATACATTTCATTTTACTGTTCCCAAACCCTATGAGTTAGAGACTATCGTTGTTCTTATTTTACACATGAAAACAAAATTGATAAACTTTTAGTTACGTAGTTTGTGACACAGCTTTTGATTTGAATTTAGCTGTCTGGATTCATAGTACAGGTTTTTAAAATTAGATTGCCTATCTCAATATAGGAAAAATGTTGTCTTAAACACTCTGAAAATGTAGCTAGGCTTTTAAGATTAGTGAAAGTTGGCCGGGCATGGTGGCTCACATCTGCAATCCCAGCACTTTGAAAGGCCGAGGCAGGCAAATCACTTGAGTTCAGGAGTTCAAGACCAGCCTGGCCAACATGGGTGAAACCCTGTCTCTACTAAAAATACACAGATTAGCCAGCGATGGTGATGGGTGCCTGTAATCCCAGCTACATTGGAGGCTGAGGCAGGAGAATCACTTGAACCTGGGAGGTGGAGGTTGCAGCGAGCTGAGATCATGCCATTGCACTCCAGTCTGGATGACAGAGTAAAACTCTGTCTCAAAAAAAAAAAAAAAAATTAGTGAAAGTTACATGCATAGTAGGTAGAGATGATGACAGAAGAAAATGTGACAGATAAACTGATGAGGTATTTTCAAGAGTTATGAGGGTTAATACTGATGGTTCTGTATATTTCAAAGGGGAGGAATTTAAGTGTCAGTAAGGAGCAGGAGACTATCAAAAATAACCAAGAGAATTTGGATAGTCCAAATAGAAGTTCCAGAAATCATAGGATAGATAAAATAGCAGATTAAACATAGCTGAAAAATTAGTAAACAAGACAAAAAATTTCCCAGAACATACCACAGAGATGAAAAGATGGAAAATGTGAATGTAAGTTGATGTAACATAAAGAGTAAGAAGGTCAACCCATTCCTAATAGAAACTCAAGAAGAATAAAAAAGAATGGGGAAGAGAGGAGATAATCCTAAGAGATAATGGTTGAGAATATTTTATAATCAATGAATGACATGAGCCTTCAAATACAGGATTAACATAAAATCCCAAACAGAGTCAATAAAACTAAACTGATGCTTTGGCAGATTGTATTAATAGTAAAATATTGTTGTACCAGAGAACACAACAGGATGACACCCAGAGAAAAATTCAGACTTTTCAACAACAATAATAGATGCCAAGAAAATAGTGGGATAATATGTTCAAAGTGGTGGGGAAAGTAGCTGGCAACCTGTATTTGTTTGCCCAGTTAAATTGCCATTCAAGAACAGGGTGAGATAGAGACATTTTCCTCAGAGGATTTGCCACCAAAGGAACCTCTGACAAAAACACTTTAGGAAAAACGAAAGTCATCTCTGAAGGGGAGGGTCTCGGATGCGAGATGGAAAAAATTGGGTAGATCTAAATATGCATTGGCTCCATGAAATAAAATAGTAACTGAATTTGAAGAACTCACACATAAAATATAAGCAGAAAGGGAACAAAGTATATCAGACAAATAGTAACCAGGGGGAAAAGGATTATACCCTGTTAATATCATGTGAAAAAAATTGTAAACATCTTTTAAAGCATCATTAGGCATGTAGAAGGCAATTACAATACAAGCTATTATCACCAAAAATTTAATAAATATTCCTCACTTAGCTTCCTGGATACCAAACTGCTTTGGTTTTCCTTCATTGACCATTCATAGTCTTTCTGAACTGTTTGGCTTTTAAATGTTGGGGTGCTCCAGTAACCTCTTTTCTTCTCTTTTGTTCTCCCTACACCTGCCTTGGGCATTATATCATACATTTGATTGGATGGAGGTGGGAAACTGATAAATTAGTGCAATAACTCAGGCAAAAATCCTAAAAGATGGTGCAGTAGGGGAATAATAATAGAAGTGGTGAGAAACAGTTGTACAGGGTTGTGTTTTTAAGGTGGGAGCTGATGGGATTTGCTGATGTATTTTTTAGAATGTAAGCCATCCAATTCTATTTGTAAATCATTTGGGCTCAGAAACTTCCAGTAGTTTCTCATCACACTCAGAGCATACTCTGGGGTTTCTGATGACCTCACAGTCCTTATCTCCTTCTGCTCTTCCTCTTCCTCCTCCACTCTGGTGACATTGGTCCCTTTTATTTCAGTTTTCCTTCCATTAAATTCTTTAATATATTTTAGAGTTCTTTCCATAAATACTCAAGTTGGGATCTGATGTGATGGTTTCTTCTCTATTGCCAGACTTTTTAGTTGTTGAATAATATAGCCCTTCATCTTAATTAAGGCTTTCTTTGTCTCACCTCCCTTTTTTCCTTTATCTTTTACAACTTTTCACGTATTCAACTCTAGCCCCCTGGATTTCTTATTGGGGCCTTTGAACTTGATGTGACTCTGCTGAGTATGTTCTGCCTTTTCCAGGCATGGCTTGGACCTCCTCATTCCAGGAATGTGCCTGAATGTCACTGCTTCCCTGTGGTCTCCTACTGGCTACCTAAAGAGCCCACTGCCTACCTGAAGCTCCTTGTGATTTTTCATCAGCTCATATAGTGTGTTAATTTTTTACAGACTTCTGAAGACTGATATTATATATGTGTTGTCTATCTTTCTTTCTCAGGGACTTTGTTTTCTTCACTCCTCTATTCCTGGTTCTAGTCATGTCTGGTATACTATAGGCACCCAATAAACAATATTTGAATAAAAACTGAATAAATAATATACTGATAATGCATGTGTAAAAGAAGCCCAGACGCAAAGTAATGTGATGGTATAGAAACTTGTTTTCAACTAGGAACCAAACAATATTAGCGTAAGTTAATAACAGTATTACCATATTAACACATGTTGTTTACTGTGTGTCAGACATTTGATGTAGTACATCAGAATTAATTTCTGTTATGATAGTCTTATGTAGGTACTCTCTTTTTGCCATTTTACTTGTGAGAAAGCCTTAGTTTGGAAAGGCTTAATAACTTTTCCTGGAGATATATGGCTTAAATGGGTGGTATAGTAGAAATTGAATCCAAACACTTAGCTGTTTCTTCTCTACTCCTGTATTAGATACGTAAGTACAAGAAGCTGAACATGACAAATTTTTTTTCTGTCACCTGCAGACATCTAAGTTCATAGGTGGGTATGTGAAGGCAGCTGCAGTTCTG